GGAAGAAATTCAAAAGAAAAGAACCCGCCGAGCAGTCAAATTCCAGAGGGCCATTACTGGTGCATCTCTTGCTGATATAATGGCCAAGAGGAATCAGAAACCTGAAGTTAGAAAGGCTCAACGAGAACAAGCTATAAGGTGAGGAATGCTTTCATTATGAGCGTTTCACCTATTGGGATGGATTTTAGGTTTGGGTCTTCAGTAATTAAAGTTACCATATAGTCTAATATATTTTAAGGTGATTTGGTGGTTAATGAAAATTATTGACAAACTCTTTGGATTTAGCCTACAAATAAATGCAGGAGGGGAAGGAAGGCATATGGTCATTGTACTTGTGCAGTACAGTCTAACTCTAATAGTAAGTTGTACCACTAAGGAGTAAAGTGCTTTTGCCTTAAGTTATTTTTACCCCACAGGGCTGCTAAGGAAGCAAAAAAGGCTAAGCAAGCATCTAAAAAGACTGCAATGGCTGCTGCTAAGGTAATTATGGGGTTTCTTGACTTTCTTGAACAGTACAACAGGAAAATTTTTTTCCTTTTTTTTTTTTTCCTCTCTCTCTCTTTTTTTTTGAGACGGAGTCTTGCTCTGTTGCCCAGGATATGGAATGCAGTGGCATGATCTGATCTTGGCTCACTGCAACCTCTGCCTCCCGGGTTCAAGCAATACTCCTGCCTCAGCCTCCCTAGTAGCTGGGAGTACAGGTGCACGCCATCAGACCTGGCTAATTTTTTTTTTTTTTCTTCCAGTAGAGAGAGGGTTTCACCATGTTGGACAGGCTGGTCTTGAACTCTTGACCTCAGGTGATCCGCCCACCTCAGCCTCCCAAAGTGCTGGGATTATAAGTGTGCGCCACTGCACCCAGCTGGAAAATTTGTTTTCAATCTAAATTGTGATAAAGTTTCACCGTTTTAAGGTATTGATTGCAAGGCTCAATTGGAAATGATGTTGGTAACCAATTAATTGGTTCAGGTCTCCAGAGGGCTCGTCCTCTCCATAAGCCAAAGTATCTGTTACTGTTAGGAATTGGGAAAAATAAAGGTTGGCTTTTGGTTTTTTTTCCCTTCAACACAGGGTCTCACTCGGTAGCCCAGCTGGAGTGCAGTGGCACAGTCACGGCTTGCTGCAGCGTCAACCTCCTGGGCTCAAGTGATGCTCCTGACTCAGCCCCCTAAGTAGCTGGGACTACAGGCAAGCGCTACCATGCCCAGCTAATACGTGTTTTAGTTGAGATGGTTTCGCCATGTTGCCCAGGCTGGCCTCAAACTCCTGAGCTCAAGCGATCCACCTGCTTTAGCACCCTAAAGTGTTGGGATGAGCCCCTGCACCCTGCCTGGTTTTGAAAGTTACTATGGTTATCTACATTGATAACATGGAGAAAAGTTGAGTAAACACTGTACTGTTACTGAGAACTTTTCTGTGAGGTTCTGTTAGGATGTATTTCAGGATCCTACACTGCACTTGGTTGTGTCTCCTTACTTTCCTCCAATCTGTGATGGTCTCTTAGTCTTTTGTCTTTTCATTGTAAAGATGGGCTTTAAATATTTAAGGGGAGTCACATTAAAAGATTGTCATTAGGAATGCAGTTAAATTACTAAGAAAGTGATCTAAGCTACATAAACAATCTGGATGTGAGAGATGGGTAATAATAGGGTAACAAAAGGTTTGTGGAGTAATATCACGTTACCTTTTTACAGGCACCTACAAAGGCAGCACCTAAGCAAAAGATTGTGAAGCCTGTGAAAGTTTCAGCTCCCCGAGTTGGTGGAAAACGCTAAACTGGCAGATTCGATTTTTAAATAAAGATTGCATTATAACTCTAGGTTGTGCTGGATTTTTTTTTTTTCTTGTAACAGGCATGTTGGATTTACATGGTCATAGGTGACCTAGTAAAGAATGTAAGACATAGGTATTATATTAAAAAGTCTATTGCTCAGGAATAATGCATCCTATAAAGTAAGCCTCTTCTTGGAGAGAGGTTAAGCAAAATGATGTAAGAAGATGGGTATGGTCAGATGCTACCTTTGCTTGGCTGGGGTGTATGGGGCACATTACAAAAACTTCATTGCCTTAACTCTTTGGTTACAATGCTGTAAGTATTAGGATGTTGCTGGTGCAGGGGCCTATGCCTGTACCTGTAATTACAGCATTTGTAAGACCAAAGCCAGGTGATCACTTGAGCTCAGGAGTTCAAGACCAGCCTAAGTGACATGGCAAAACCCCATCTCTACAAAAACATACAGAAGTGAGCCAGGTATGGTGGAGAGTGCATGTAGTTTCAGCTGGGAAGCTGGGAGTGTGGAAAGTGGAAGGATCACTTGAGCCAGGGAGGTCAAGGCTGCAGTGAGCTGAAATCGTGCCACTGTACTCTAGCCTGGGTGACAACAAGACCCTGTATCAAAAAACCAAAAGATGTACTTTAAAAATGATTCTCGTTAAACTACCTTTTCCCATGATAGACAAATTTAGTTTATATTGGTTTGCTTATAGTCATTGTTACCTCCCCTACCATTTGCTAATAGCTGAGTTGAAGGTGCTAAAAACTTACCAGCTATATTAATCTGCTCTTGCTTTCAGAAAGTAATGTCTAAATGAAAAGCACTGCTGCTTGAATAAAGAGTATCCTGGCCGGGCGCGGTGGCTCAAGCCTGTAATCCCAGCACTTTGGGAGGCCGAGACAGGCGGATCACAAGGTCAGGAGATCGAGACCATCCTGGCTAACACGGTGAAACCCCGTCTCTACTAAAAAATACAAAAAAAAAAACTAGCCAGGCGAGGTGGCGGGCGCCTGTAGTCCCAGCTACTTGGGAGGCTGAGGCAGGAGAATGGCGTGAACCCGGGAGGCGGAGCTTGCAGTGAGCTGAGATCCAGCCACTGCACTCCAGCCTGGGCGACAGAGCGAGACTCCGTCTCAAAAACAACAAAACAACAAAAAAAGTATCCTTGGCTAAATTCCCAGAGTAGTTTGTTGAGCTGGGGGCTTGCCACAGCCGTGTTAAATTACAAAAAATGTCTGAATAAACTGATATTCAAGAGATTTATTTACTTATTTTGAGATGGAGTCTCCTGGTGCCCAGGCTGGAGTGTAATGGCACGATCTCAGCTCACGGCAACCTCCATCTCCTGGGTTCAAGCGATTCTCCTGCCTCAGCCTCCTGAGTAGCTGGGGTGTTACAGGCACGTGCCACCATGCCTGGCTAATTCTATTTTTAGTAGAGACGGGGTTTCTTCATGTTGGTCAGGCTGGTCTCGGACTCCTGACCTCAGGTGATCCTCCTGCCTCAGCTTCCCAGAGTGCTGGGATTAACAGGTGTGTGCCACCACCCACAGCCTGAGATTTACATATTTAAGATGTGATAAAATAGTAATCACAGCTTACATGTGAAGAATAGGCTTCTACTTCTACAGAAAGTAGGTCATTTTTACCTGCCAACCTGTGCCAACTTGCAAGGATACAACAGTGGACAAATCAGTCCTCTTTAGGGAAACATGATTTTACACATATACTAGGTGAGGGTATATAGTGAATGTCAATATTTTCCTCCATCCCTATCCTATCCAAGGTGATAGAATTTTTTTTTTCTAGTGCATGTTAACATTCAGACGTCCAAGTGTTATGGGTAAAATGAGTAAGTCCTTTTGAGAACCTGAAAATGTAAACTAAAATCAATATAAGAAATGTAAAACACAGGCTTTTGCTCATAAAAGCAAAATGTTAAGATTTTGCATGGTTAAGAATCTTTTTGTAATAATGTTATGTTTTATTTAGGGAATTACTGGGAAAATAAAGTCATTATACCCAACTTGAATGTAAAGCTATGCTTGCTAATATTTGGAGAATAAAATGGCCCCTTAAAGTATTGCTTTTCTGGGCTCAATGTTGGCTTTTAAGGAAGTGGAGCTGCCCATTCTCATTACCCTTGAGTCTTAGGTAACCTGGGACCCAGAAGAAGCTAGAAATAAACACTACCTGTTCTCACTACAGCAAGTTTAGCTTTACTCAGGAAGGCAACTTGGCCACTGGGAAAGCATTTTATTAAAACGTGTGTTTCTATTGGCCCAAGGGATAATGCGTGCATCAGCAGACTTGTCAGTGCTTACAGGTGGTGGTTTGGCAAAAAAGGGATTTTTTTTTTAACTCTTCTACATCCTATCTGTATTGTTTACAGATTTGAATGTATTCACTTAATAAATGTTTAATATTTAATATCAATTAACTTAAAATGTTTATTTTTTTTTGAGACGGAGTCTCCCTCTGTTACCCAGGTTGGAATGTAGTGGCACAATCTCGGCTCACTACAACCTCCGCTTCCCAGGTTCAAGCGATTCTCCTGCCTCAGCCTCCCGAGTAGCTGGCACCACAGGTGTGTGCCACCATACCCAGCTAATTTTCTTATTTTTAGTAGAGACAGGGTTTCACCATGTTGGCCAGGATGGTCTCCATCTCCTGACCCCGTGATCTGCCCGCCTCGGCCTCGCAAAGTGCTGGGATTACAGGTGTGAGTCACCACGCCCGACCAAAATATTTGAAGACAGTCAATATGACAGGAGACTGGGACTGGCTCAACACGTAGACCAGCTGCACAGAGGGTGCATTTGGTCTTCCGCTCTCACTGCCCCACCCCATGGGGGAAGAGGTACAGCTCCATGTTTAAATTCCTCCTTTGAGCTATAGTGGCAAACTCAGCAACGAAGTAGGTCTCAGACCTGTAGTTTCTTTTTCTTTCGGGACTTGATGGCTCATGTCCCTGCACCTGGAATCTTTTTCAAGGATGTCCGGGCCATCTGGGAACTGCTGCGTGTACACACACACACACAAACACGCCCCTAACACCAGAGGTTGGGTGTATCATTCTGTTTTCGAGCCTACTGTATTCACCTGTCTGCCCCGTCAGCTACTTCTACAAGGGTCAAAGGGCCTCACCCAGAGACTACAGACCCCCTGGTGGAGAAGTGTACTGGCCGTTTCTGCAGCTGGACCCCTCGGCCTAAAATGTTCTGGCTTTAACGAAGAGGCGACAGTGTCCAACCCCAGTCCCCGAGGAAGGATGTCAGCCCTGGGCTCCTGTGAGCGCTGCAGATTCGTTCCAGAGAAGGGTGACCGGGGTCGCTGCTCCGGGAATACCAGCTAAATATCTGAATTAGCATCCTCAGCACGCGCTGGGAGACGCAGTTCAAGTCTGCTCCCCTTCTTGTGCCCTTATATATATTTGGTGCAAAATGGAGAACCTTTTCCCCTACGTTTGTGTAAAAACATATGTAAATAAAGCTTTATAATAGTGTTACCCCCTTTTCCACTCGCAATAAGATTGACTATATATGCTGATCATTCCAGAAAAATCTCGACTCTTCCTTGAGTAGTCTGGAGCTAGCAGGTGCACTGAAAATGTTACAACTGTTAACTGAAATCTAAATTTCCATGTGAATGGGCTGTCTCTGGTCCCCTGTCCAGAGACTAATATTTTTCCAAAAGCCTGAAAATACGCTTTTATGATATCGGGAGTCTCAAGGTAAACGTAAAAACAGACTCCTTTACCCCTTCGGATGTCTCCCATGAACTCACAACTGGCCACCAGCTCCCCCTTCACGTGGCTCCTTAGAAAGCGTGGAAAAGGGAAAAATGAATAGAGAAACTGCCAGGACTTAAGATGTCTGCTTTGAAGACCCTTCGAGTTGCAATGAAGGGCCTACCCGCTTCCAAAATGTCCACCCGCAGTCCTGACGTCACTGGATCGGCTCCATCAAGCCAGAAAACGAGAGTGCGTTCCAATCAGGGCTCAGTCCCCGCCCTTGGCTTGCGTCACTTCCGGTGGTGCAGCAGCCATTTTGTCAGTCGCCAGCGGATCCCGCGCGCTGGGGAAGTGCAGTTCCCCCTGGTTACCAACTCGTCCCCTTTTCCTTCGGACTAAGGGAGCCGTCGAAGAGTGCTCGCCAAAGGCGCAGCCGTTTCTCCCTGCGGTGCCGCCGCTCCTGCTGCAGCCGCCCGTAGGTAGTGGGCCGTTTTTCTCACCTGTCCCTGACAGGCGCCCTCAGGGAGCCGCGGTCCGCGATGTCAAGCGAGGAGAGCTACCGGGCCATCCTGCGTTACCTGACGAACGAGCGCGAGCCCTACGCGCCGGGCACCGAAGGCAATGTCAAGCGTAAAATCCGAAAAGCTGCCGCCTGCTACGTGGTGCGCGGCGGGACTCTGTATTACCAGCGGCGGCAGCGACACCGCAAGACCTTCGCGGAGCTGGAGGTGGTGCTGCAGCCGGAGCGACGCCGGGACCTCATCGAGGCGGCGCACCTGGGTCCCGGCGGCACTCACCACACCCGGCATCAGACTTGGCACTACCTGTCCAAGACGTACTGGTGGCGAGGTGAGACCTGGCCCGCGGTAAGGGGGCGGGCTGGCGACTCGTTGCCTGGGCAAGGCTCGCTGGCGAGGCCTGTTTGCGCACCCACGAGTCGGAGGATCTCGGACGCCTCTGGGCGTCGGAGCTGCTGCTGCCAGGCGGAGCCGAGAGGGTGGGGGACGCGAAAGGAGCCGCACTTCCCACAGGAAGGAGGCCGGCGAAGCTGGGGGCGGGTCCTGGCCCAGGGTGGGACCAAGGGGGCTTCCCCGGAGGCCGGGCCTGCCGCGGGGAGGGGCCGGACGCCTGGGCTGCGCCAGGTCCGCCTCCTTGGGCGGCCCGTGGAGGCTGAGGCCCCGGCCCTCTGGAGGTGGCGTTTGGCCCGCGGCAGTGAAGGCTGCGGGGTGCACGTTTTCAACTCTGTGCTGACGTTTGGAGGGAGGGACTAGTCACCCGAAGCCGGGTCTCCCGTTTCTTTAGTGCTACGCTTGGGTTTTGGCGAGCAAGTATGAGCTGCTCTGGACACATTCGGTAGTGTTCCTCAAATTTCGTCGCTGCCGCGTAAATAAGACATAACACAATTATTTGCAGAAGTGATAAGCAGTGATTGGGAAATCGCCTTGAGCGTTTTTTTAAGAACAAGAATTAAATGTAAAAGATATCAGATACTCTTTTTTTGGTTGGTTGGTTGGTTGGTTTTGCAGTGAGGGGAGGTTGGTTGGTTGAGTGGACGCGGGTCTCGCCACGTTCCCCAGGTTGATCTCCATCTGGCCTCAAACGATCCTCCCGCGTCGGCCTCCCAAAGTGTTGGGATTTCAGGCATGAGCCACGGCGCCCAGCTTGATATTCGTAACTCTGAATGTTTTAATAATCTTTCCCCTAATGTGAAAAACGCGTTTGGGAACTGTGTAGCATTGTATATACGCAGAAAAGATATGATTACTGTGACTTTTTGATTGTCAAAAAATAGAGCTCTAAAGTTACTTGACTCTTTGGGAACCAGTTGTAGGGGAGGAGAGCAAGTGCCTTGGCTTCTCAACCATCTTCCCTCTCCACAGTTGATGAATATTCAAACTGTCAGAATTAGTAACAGTTTACAGTCTCATTTAAGAAAGTTTTTTAGGAACAGTTCTGTCACTCTCCATATGGCTACGGAAAAGTTAATTCATAAGTCTTGGTTACTTCGTCTGTGAATAAGGAAATTACTGAATAGTTTCTAAATTATTTTCGGTTTATAAACGTCAAGTTTATTTGTTTACGAACTAGTGGATAATCAAATTCTTCCATTTATTTTCCATTTTAAACCAGTATCTGAATTAAATTCCTGTAAGGACAGACAAATGCGAAGAGTAAATTTGAGGTAATGAAGTAATCACTGCATTTTGTTTGGATGGGTTTGGGTAGACATTTGTTGAACAAATGTCTCACACTGAATACTCCAGAATTTGTTAAAGATGATCATTTTAACTATAGGTAATACTGCAAGCTTATATATGCAGGATATAGTCGTTAGCACTTGGCATTTATTTAACCTTCATAAAACCTTAATACTTATCTCCTTTTTTCCCTGGAGACAGAGTGTAGGGCGGCTTGCTTCTTGCTGCAGTGGCACGAAAACAGCTCACTGTAGCCTCGACCTCCTAGGCTCAGATGATCCTCCCATTTCAGCCTCTGTTTTACAGATGAAAAAACTAAAAGCCCTAGAATGTTAAATAACACAACAAAAGTCACACAGCTGACCTTTGTGATCTTACACTTTTCTTAACCCAGTGTTATGTGGTATTTTGTGTTCAGAATTTTCTTTTTCTAAGTTGATTATCTGTGAGTGATTCCAATCCAGTTTTTT